TTTACATCACAGAAACCTGACATTTTAACGGGGGTGTGTAGACTTTTTATATCCACTGTACTTTAATGAAGAAGAGACATAGCATGTCTCTTCTGAAATAATGACCTTCCTGCTTGGATTTTTTTTCTGGTACCAAAAGAACTTTACTGAAAGTTTTGAACAAAAGTAGCTCAAGAAAATACAACCTTGGAATGTAAAATGGATATGACAAATGAAACATGGCCATATAATATATAATGGCAGTAAAGGCCCGTCAAAGGGTCTGTGCAGCCGTAAAAACAATGATGCAAACAGGAAAGGCTCATACTCCAGAAGGTATTAGCATGGTAATGACCAGAGTATATTGATACATCTCTGAAGAAAGATCATGCAACCTGGTCCCAAAAATTGTACACCCGCATACAAATGTTTTCTTTTATTAAAAAGGTATAGTTCCGCTTTAGCACATGCAAAATGCTCTCTAATTTAGCCATGTGCTTGTAATTTTTAAATTGTGTAGGATTCATCTGAAAATAACTAATTTGTTTGTTTTTTGAACATAACTATTTTTATTTTGGTGTGTAAGCTTTGTGAATTGAGCCCAAGGTACGTCCATCACAAAGTACTGGCAGGAGAGAGAAGTGTGGATAGTCTTTCAAAAGATGTGTGTATATATACAGCTGTGCTCAAAAATTAGCTGCATGGTCGAGTTGTCAGAAAGAAAGCCTTTACTGCACCAATACCACAAAAAAAAAAAAAAAACCCAGTGAGGAGTACCAAGGTGATGTTGGGCACATTGTAGCTCAGCTTTCTGTGTGGCATTGGTGCATTAAAGGCTTGTTTTTGGTAACTCAACAACGCGCAGCTCATTTTTGTTCAAGTATTGTCGTATTATGCTCCTTGAAGCAACCACGCTATCTTTTTCCAGAGCAGCCTGTATTTCTCCTGGGGTTACCTGTGGGTTTTTTTTGTGTCCCGAACAATTCCCAAAACAGAGCAGAGAGAAGTGACCTTTAGTTTCAGTTTCTAGTATATTACTATGCGATTGCTGTGATTGGACACAGGAATCACATGGTGAGCGGTAATGTGATCCGCTGTGTCTGGGCAACATATCGATCGGCGGGCTCCTGAGTGTGTGTGTGCTCTATGAGCCGCGCAGGAGCTGCCGATACGGCCTGGCATACAGGTATGTTAGCCCACATCGCCAAAGCTTCCCGTTCGCTGTCTGTAGACTAAGGGTGGATGTGAAGGGGTTAAAAAGGAGGAGAAAATTTTTTGGCATGATCAGTCATTATTTTAACCATTTGCCGCCTGCCCTATGGCGGAATGGTGGCCGGCAAATGTCATCAGCGTTCCGGGTGGACGCCATATGGCGTCCTTCCGCACATGCGCAGATTTGCGCTCCTGCAGAGCCACTCAGCGGCGCGATCTGTCACCGGCCGTGTACCTCGGACACGGCCGATGACAGATCTGAGTATCAGCCCCCGTTGCCGGAACCATGTGACCTGCTGTGACCAATCACAGCAGGTCACATGACAGTTGTATACAATGGATGGTTTCATTCATGCCATCCATTGTCTACTAGTGTCTAGCTGTGAATGGTCACAGCTAATCACATGCACAGGTCATGTGATTAGCTGTGGCCAAATCACAGCTAAGCACAAAAAAAAAAAACCCTGAATGAATTAATGTCATTCAGGTAAATGCTTGCTTATAGCAAAGTAATCCTTTGCTATAAGCAAATTGTGTAAAAAAAAAAAAAAAAAAAATACTGATCACTTCCCCCAAGTAGTACAATGTTACTATGGTAACATTGTACTACTTTAGTCATAGTGAAATATGAAAAAAAAATCTTAAAAAAAGAAAAAAAAATGTAATAAAAATATATATTTATTTTTTTTATTCATACTGTCACCAGTCAGTGTCCCTGATCACCGCCATGCCAGTTATATGATGACGCTGTACTGCACTGGTGACAGTATGTAAAAAAAAAAATAGTGAAACTAATTTTTTTTTAATTTTTTAATTTTCCAAAAAATTATGACAAAAAAATACAAGTTCAAAAAACTCACCATGCCTGTTATGAAGTACGTCGGACTGTCTACTTTGCAAAAAGGGGTCATTTGGGGATATCTGTACTGTTCTGACATTCTTGGACCTCAAGAAATTAGATTGGCTGTCAGTACTTCAGGATTGATCAATATTCAGATCTATCCCATAGTTTGTGAACTCTATAACTTTCCTACAAACTAAAAAATACATCCTAATTTGGGTTATTTTCACCAAAAGTGCTACATGTAGCAGAATACATCTTGGCCTAAATTTATGAAGAACAATTATTTATTTGCAAACTTTTAATAAACAGAAAGAAAAATGTGTGTTTTTTTCAAAATTTTGGTCTTTTTTTGTTAATTTAGTAAAAAATGAAAACCCCAGCAGTGATTAAATACCACCAAAAGAAAGCTCTAGTTGTGTGAAGAAAATGATAAAATTTTAGTTTGGGTACAGTGTTGTATGACCGCGCAATTGTCATTCAAGGTGTGAGAGCGCTGAAACCTGAAATATGGCCTGGGCAGGAAGGTGTAAAATTGCCCGGTATTGAATTGGTTAAATATCAATACCAAAATTTGATGATTTCTGCCAGAGTATGCAAACTTTTGAGGCCAACTCTGTGTGTACACACATACATACACACACACACACACACACACATATATATACACACACACACACGTACATATACATATATATATACATTATATATATATATATATATATACATATATACACACACACACACACACGGGCAAAAATGAATAAAATCTAAATGGTCAATGAACACAACTAGCCAGATTACATTGAAAAAAATAAGACCATAACCTTACCCAGATAGGTGGATAAAGGAAAAGAGATCTGAACTACATACCAAAACAGCTGGCACCACCCACCAATGGATGCTGGTAGATATCGATTATTAATAATATATAACATTTCATATCCAACTTGTGAGCAAATAAATCACATCAGTGTCAGCTGCCAGGAGAACGAGAAATAATGTATATTTATAAGTATTATATATAAGTATTCCTGCCTTTATCCTACACCTTAGGTCTTATTTATATGGGCGTACGCCCGTGCGAGAGCCGTGTTTTGCCCAATTGGGGAAGAACAAGTGTTTCATACATCTCTGTGCAAGTAGTCCCATTTATGTCAATTGGGACGGAGTGGCTGCACGGACACAACCAAGCTCCCAATTTGACAGCTGTGTGGGTTCCCAAAAGTAGACAGTGTAAGCTCAGGGACCCGCACCCACATGGCTGTTGATTGAGAGCATGGCTGTGTCCCAAATGATATGAATAGGACTGACAGTGCATTGGGATATATGGAACACGTATGCATCCATGTGGACAGTCGCAGCCTCGTACTTGCATATGATTAAGTAAGCCCATGTGAATGAGGCCTTAGACAAAACGAGAAGCTTACTGACTGGACAGTGAGATGAGCTCATCTATACTCGCTCTGCTCTCTCCTCCTGTCAGTCCGATTGACTTCCAGTGCTGCCCCTTTCCCATTCTCAGTACTGCTATTACACAAGCCAGAATCAGGCACTCACACACTTATTGCATTTAAAAGAAATACATACTACATTTGTGAAAACACACCAATCTGCATTATTTAGTTTATATCTGCCTGGAGATCAGCTATAATACTTTAGCAGTAAAAGAAAGGAAAAGACATTCTCTTGGGTTATCTTATGCAGGGATTTCAGCACGCCTTGTTTTCAGCTAATTAGGCTACGGCTACATGACCAATGAAATCTCCAGGCTACTGCCACTTGATGGCAGTCACCTCACTTGCATCATCCGGAAATCAATGCACTGCTAATCAGATGACTGTAAACAACTAGTCAAATCTGTCAGCAGTAGCCAAGGCATTGAATCAGATGTGAAGCCGTATGCTTGTTTATTTTGTATTCTACAGATATCAAGATGCCAGTACTCCTGTTCTGCATACCGAGATGGTTATCCTAGTTGTAAGAAATACGCAATAACCCTCACCCCTTGGATCCCTTTTCACATGGAACACTGTGCAAGAAAACCACCAACCCCAATGCAGAAATTCCAAGAACATAGCTCAGAATGCCTATATTGGAACGCAGTCTTAATGAAGAGTTTGAGAGCAATATTCTTGTCAATGACAAAGAAAACATTTAGAGAATCGTGAACATTTTTGGCACCTTTAAAAATTCATAGCTAGCCGTATGCTGAAATGTAAGGACCACATGCAGTGGCTCTCCTAGATTGTAAGCTCCAAGGATCAGGCCCTCCTTTCCCTCTTGTATTGAACTGTATTGTTGCTGTATTGTCTCCTGTTATATTGTAAAGCGCTGAGAAAACTGTTGGCGCTATATAAATCCTGTATAACAATAATAATACCTGCATTGAACAAAATGTTATGCTTCCAAGATCACTTTTTCCTGCATTTGCATGCACTTAGTTGCATAAAACCAGCCCAGGCTTCATGCACACTAGCATTGTTACAAAAGCAAGCGTTTTAGTAGCGTCTAGGAGCGTTTAGGAGTGTTAGCATTTTATTAGTGTTTTTAGAGTACATGTAGAGAAAAAAAAAAGCTAGAAAGTGGTTAGGAGCGTTTTAGTAGCGTTTAAAGTTTTTTTCTGCTCCTTGAAGCAGTGTGCATGAAAACATAGGAAAAAACATTATTTAGCTTCTAGGAGCAGAAAAAATGCTAGTAACAACTTCAGCTTCTAGGAGCTTAAAAATGCTAGTGTACATGGAGCCTAAATGTCCCAGAATGAATAAATATCTACTTTGTGTAAACACAGCTAGACTGCATGCACCTAGGACTGCTCTAAGTACTTCCAAATGCCCCTGAATGCCTGTAATTTACTTCCTGTCTTCATGAGGCATAAAAGGATATAATAAAGTGTTACTAAACCCTGGACCCTGCATTCACTATATCTGGTCTCCCACAGTACACAGAACATGGAAGTGCAATTATTTTAGTAATTATAAACAGCTAAATACCTTTTCTCATCAGCAGTTAAAGCAGACTTGTGACTTCTATCAGTGTCCAGCAGAGCACATGTTAAAGCTTGTAGGAGGAGTTTTCTTTCTGCTCTAGGAGGATGCAAAACCCCTGACCTCTGCATGTGATCAGCACAGGGCCAATCAGCACTGTACAGACACTCTCCAAAGGAAAAAAAAAACCTCTCTAGCAATACACACTAAACTGAGCATGTGCAGAAGGGCTACGGGTTTCAGTCTGTCTTATCAGCTGAACATTTGAACAAGAGGAGGGGCAGAGAAGTCAGGATCAAACAGTCTTTTACACAATGCAAATGATTAACCCCTTAGGTTCCACAGTGAGTATAACAAGCATGCTTTACTGGATATACAGACTGATTTTACTTGTATGGGTTTAGTAACACTTTCAATTATTTAAAAACATGTCAGCAATGAAGCATTGTACCTTTTGTACAAGGTCATACTAGCAATGTTCTGAATATAAACAGGGATTCTTTGTTTGCAAAAATTGAAGTACCTGTTCAAGGTGGCCAACTGCATCAAAGTGACCCCTCTCCAACTAGTCCCTACTGCCCCACCAAAATGGCAAATACTTTTGTGTATGTGAAATACACTAATGGACATAGATGGGGGAATTCCAGGGAAATGGTGTGAGTGTTGGAGCATTTTCTGTTATCAGACAAGTTCTATGTGGTGTTGCACCATCTGCGCCAAATGATGTTAAGAGTGTTAAGTGACAATTTTGATAGAAGTCTAATTGTGTGCACCAAAGTAATCAAACACTTGCACCAATGTTCTAATTTAAAAACAGTTCTAAAATATACACTGTTTTCAGAGTGGTGTAGATACTGTAGAGAGGAGGGAGTGATGATCAGCACTGCATCAAGGACAGGAGCAGGGGAAAGTGTATGAAGGGCTGATGAGGTGCAACAATGCAGGAAGGAGAGGACAGTATTATTGGCGATGATCCTAGTGGAAGAGTGTGCATGCCGGAGTAAGCGCGCTTGAATCTGGCACATCAGCACTATGCAACAGATTGGCATACACCACTTCTATTCATTTGTTGCAGGAAATGCTAATGAAGCAGGCATATAGAAATTGGTGCATAGTTTGGCATGTGCCAGTCTTTGTTAATCCCCAGAATGTCGACATGTGATAAACAGATGGAAATGCAAGACAGATATAGAAGCAGGTCTGATCAATGACTTGCACTATTCAATGGCACAAAAACAATGGATGTTCTCACAATAATTCTTCTATTTTTTTTCTTATAAAGCTGGCCTTACACTGATTAAAGGATAAGTTCACCTGTCATAACTAGTGGTGCACCGAAATGAAAATTCTGGTACTGAAAACCAAAATTCAAAATGTACTCGGCCAAAAAACTGAAACCGAAATGCGCAGTTTTTAAAAATGAATATATATTTTTGGCAAAAAAAAAAAAAAAAACAATATATACCTCAATTTTTTAATAAAATATGAAAGAGGATGATACGGCGAGTAAATAGATACCCAACATGTCACGCTTTAAAATTGCGCACGCTCGTCGTGAATGGCATGAAACTGCGGTACTTAAAAATCTCAATGGGTGATGCTTTAAAAATGTCTACAGGTTAGCAGTGTAAAGTTACAGAGGAGGTCTAGTGCTACACTTATTGCTCTTGCTCTGACGTTCGTGGCGATACCTCATATGTGTGGTTTGAACACCATTTACATATGTGGGCATGGCCTACGTGTGCGTTCACAACTACTTGAGAGCACGTGGGAACGGGGGCACTTTAAACTTTTTTTTTTCATTTATTTAAAAAAAAAATTTTTACACTGTCCCTTTAACAAAAAATTATAATCACTTTTATTCTTGTAACAAGAAATGCATGCATCCCTTGTGATATAAATAATTGACAGGTCCTCTTCATGGAGAGATATGGGGTCAATAAGACCGTACATCTCTCCTCTGCAATGTTAAGCATTGGATTAAAAAAAAAAAAAAGCACTGATCTAGTGCTTTTAAGAAAAAAAAAAGGCCGAAACCAGAAGTGACATTGCTCGGGTCCTCCAAGGGCATAGAGATGAGTGGAGGCCATCTTTCCTTCACTCATCTCTATGCCCAGCGCCGGGATCGTTCAATGGTTTCTCAGGTAAGGCTGAGAACTACCGAGTGGTAGGGCTTTATCAGCATCTGTATTGGTGCTTTTTCTTATTTGGCTGACGCCCGAAAGGGGTGTTTTTGGTCACCGAAATTTTGGTGCATCCCTAGTTGTAACATGTTACACCCAGATTCAAGGTGTAACATGTTACAAATGGACCGCCCCCCAAATCCCTATTGTGACAGCTAGCAGGAGATCTTCTCAATGCTAGCTGTAACAATTTACAGAAAAAAAAAAAAAAAACACACCTTGGCCTTGCGGAGCTTCATCCACCCAGCCACAAAATTCCTTGACTTTGTTCTGTGAATGAATGAACTACAAGTCCCAACAGCCTTTGCAGCTGTCAGCTTGTAGTTTTCAGTGAACTCCCATGGCGCTCCACAGCACACATTAAAGGATAAGTTCACCTTTGGAACATGTTACATGTTTCACCCATTTTTTAGGGTGGAACACGTAACATGTTCCCATAACCGCAGCCGCGCCCTCCGCCACCCTTCCTCTGACAGATAGTATGGGGAGACTTCTCTCCATACTATCTGTCAGACTTTAAAACAGCATGGCCATTTTCAGCCACACAGCCACGTCACTCATTCACAGTTCTGTGAGAGCCTACAAGTCCCAGCAGCCTTAGCTGCTATCAGTTTGTAATTTTCAATGAACTACCACTGTGCTGTGGAGCACCATGATAGTTCATTGAAACTTCCTGTCAGAATATCTGCTTGGCCGCACATCCCATACAGCAAGCAGATATTCTGACAGGTCTGCAGGAGACCTGCATGGCATTAGTGATCTACTGATCACTGGTGCAGTGACTTTACAGGCTCCTTTGGACAAAAATAATAAATGCATATTATTTTACCTGAAAAAAAAATGTATTTATTATTTTTGTCCAAAAGATGAACTTATCCTTTAATTCTTCCTGTCAGTATATACGGACAGATCTGCAGGAGACCTGCATGGCACCAGCTGATTCTTGGAGCAATGCTTTAGGCTACTTTCACACTGATCCGCCACAAAAACACAGCAAAAACGCATTGGATTAAAATGAAACATAGCATAGTTATATTTTAGATTTTCCTTTTGAGCTTGAAGGAAGAGCTTTAAGTTGGCTGTAGATGATCAAAACTCAATAGGGGCCCCAAATTCAGACCATGAGTGAATTGGACAGAAGGTGCACGGCAGGAGGTGACGGACTTATTGAAATTTTTTCTTGATCAGGGGCTGGAGCCAAAAAGGCTGCAGCCACAGACGAATGTAAACAGAGAGTCCCCACCGTCAGAATACATTGTCAGCAGGGACAATTCCTCTATGGTCTTGAAGAAGGAGCTCCGAAACACGTCAACGCTCCATGCTCACGTCACTTCCAGTCCGTGGACAGCATGCGTTCCAGTGTTCCAGTGTCCGAACAGAGCGGCGGCAGCTCCCCCTGCAGCTGCTGGCTGGCACAGCGGCTCCATCACTTAGATGACAGAGCCCTGCTATTGATTACATTAGAGCCTGTTTTTACTACCACATTGTAAGTGTTTTAACCGCTTTTTATTAACCTCCTCGGCGGTATGATTCTTTCCGATTTTTTGTGCTTAAAGCGGTACCATTTTTTTGCATGGAAATATGTAGTTTTTTATTGTAGGCTGTAATTTTTAGGAATAACTCACTGAAATCTGTCTGAACAAGAGTTTAGTAAACATCCCGGGTATGATAAAACTTGAAACACGAAATCATAAATTATAATTTAATAAATAATCATAAAAAATAATAATATAATAATAATAAATGTAATTCAATAATATAATCAAATCAAAAACACTAAAATTTGAAATACAGAGGCAAATTCGCACATCGCTGAGCAAAGTCGCAAAATCGTTTTCAGTGTCCGATGACGAATTTCCCCACAAATCATTATTACTAAATTCTGCAAGTGGTTCTGATTTACTATCGCTGTTCTAAAACCGCTTTTGACGTAAAGGGACGCTTTTGGACACCATGGACTTTTCTAAGTTTCCAGGCAGAAAGAACAGTCAAAATGCAGGCAGGGCGCAGGACAAAGCAGAGGGACAAAATATATGTGAAATGCATTGAAACAGCAATGACAGCAAAAATTACATTTTTAAAAAATTTCAAATTTCCCACCGGTTCCGGCGCCCGTACGTCCCGACGTCACAGGGACCGGAACACGGAAGCTGGATGCCGGCATCGGCCGGAGGAAATGGCCAGGGACGCTGCACAGGACACATCGCGGGAGCGAAGGACAAGGTAAGTGCTGCAGGGACCCCCTGAGCAACGCCGCATGGTAAGCCCGAGTGTAGCTCGGGGTTACCGCTCTTGGTATTGAAATTTTACCCCGAGCTACACTCGGGAATACCGCTAAGGAGGTTAAAGTTGATCTGGAATACTGCACTTAGAAGCGCCTTCCTGTTTCACCTCCTTCTGCACAGAGTTTGTTTCCACTCTTTAGAAGTGCTGCTCAGTACCGGTTTCCCTACACACCATCCATCATCAGCTGCTATACTTCCACAGCATCGTCCACCGACGCGCCCTGCTACCCATCTTACAAATCCTCTATCCGCCTTTTTAGTGTGGCTGGAGGAATAATTTCTGACTTTCCATTCAGACCACTAAACGAAAAAAAGATCCATCTATGGCCAACCTTAGTCTCTGAAAAGTCCGTTTACAGAATACAGTAGCTCAAACACACACGAATGAGTGAAAACAGCGACTCATCCTTTTATCAGATGGCTCTTTCAGTCAGACAACGAATGCCTGAACATAGGAAGCATCTGCTGTGCTGCTTCATCAGATAACCCATAAAGCCCTGCAAATCCTTTGTTGTAAACGAAACCTAAAACAATAAAATCAAACTGACTTAAAGCCATTATAGTTTGCCTTTATTGTGTGAACCTTCTTACTTAAACATTAGTAGCTCACGGACAGCTTTCACTTGTTGCCTGGATTAGCCTTTTAATTTACCTAAGAACATAAGAAGGAACATTTGCCTTGTTTGAAACCAACACCGTGTAAGCTAGAAATCCCTCCTGAGAACCTGGGGACAGCTTCTTGATAAACAGCAAATCACAAATCTTTAAGGGCTCACGTACACTGCAGCTGCTAAACGTTCAGGATCTGTTCAGCGGTTTTTTCAGCAGCCCCTG